AAAAAAAAAAAAAAAAAAAAAAAGGGCTGGGGGTGTAGCTCAGTGTGAAGGCCCTGGGTTCAATCCCCAGGAAAACAAAACAAAATCAAACCTGTTGTCAACACCACGCGCAGTCGCTGGTGCCCCTGATAGCCCCAGTCGCTGCTGCCCTCCACAGTGCACACGGCACCTGGAAAGTCGGACCCTGGAGGGAGGACTCAGGGCGAGCACTTGCTTAGCGCCCACTGAATACCGGGTGCCGTTGGAAGTTTCCGTTAGCTCATTCACCTCACCAGGGTTATGGAGGCTGGCGGGAAGAGCCCCTGCGTCCCGGACCTCTTTCCTTCCCATTTCCCCACCCTCACGGATGTGCCGAAAAAGGAGAGCAGTGCACCCAGCAAGGCTTTCCAAAGCGACCTGAGTTTACGCTGAATGCATATGTATTTTAAATATAAAGAATGGCAGGCCGTGGAGGCGGTGGAGGCCTTCGGTGGAGGCGGGGCCCCTGTACAGCACCTGGTCCTGCCCCGCTCTGATCCCACACACACAGGGAGGCCCTCGGCCAGGGTTAGATGAGGCATCACTTGTGTGACCCTGCTGGTCTTGTCCTGAGCTCTAGGGCTAGGGGTGCAGTAGCAGGCAGACCTTTTTCCCTGCAGTACCCAGGATGGAACCCAGGGCCTTTGCATAGACTACATCCCAACCCTTTAAAATATTTTGAATACAATGGAATACTATGCTGCCATAAAGAAAGATAAACGAGATATTTGTAGGCAAATGTATGCAACTTGACAACAATGTCAGGTGAAATAAGTCAGACACACAAGCTTATATATTGTGTGGGTTCTCTATATGAGAAACACAAAATATATACATTAAAAATCAAGAGCAAAATAGAAGATAAATAGGAAGTGGGGAGTCTTTCAAGTAATTCTCCAAATTCTTTGTTCTGATGATTCAAAAATATTTCCCTCTCTCTCTCTCTCTCTCTCTATCTATATATATGCTTGTTTCATTTATACCAGTAGTTCTCTTTGTTCATTGAAAAGAAAGTTTTGCTATTATCTGTTTCTTTTTTGTAAGAGAACATTTTTTTTGTTGTGGCATGCTCTGAGTAACACTGTGGCCATTCTTTTAAGATTATGATACACAGTGTATTAACTGTTGCTATCCTTTTATTATTTTGTATAAAATTTTGTTTTATTTTTCTATGAGTACTTTTTAATATTTTCTTTATTGATATCTTCATGTATCATATTAAAATAACAGCCATCTCGAATGTTCAAACAACAAAACAATTTTTTTTGAAACAGGGTCTCAGTAGGTAATAAGTTGCCCAGGCTGGGCTTGAATGTTTCTTTTCTTTTCTTTTTTTTTGGCAGTAGGGATCCAACTCAGGACCTTGTGCTTCTGAGGCAGGCAGCGGCACCACTGAGCTAAATCCCCTGCCCTGAGCTTCAACTTTTTGACCCTCCTGCCTCAGCCTCACAGAGTGCTGGAGTGTGCCACCAGCATCTTTCATTTATCAAAACTGTGGTGACTTATCCGTGGCATAGAACTCGTGTCATCACCACGTGA